GACAAAGATGGATTTTTTGAAACTGGCGATGTTGCATATGCTGACGATCAAGGTATGCTTCATGATTTAATAAAAAAATAAGTTGGTTAGTAATAAAAAAAAAAAATAAACCCCGTTCTTCTTAAAATATGCAAATCGAATACTACATAAGTGCATATTAGATTTGAGACAAAATGCTCTTCAATATTTCAGGCCAATCATCTGTATTCTTTTAGTTCATTTCTGGAATGTTCGGATCAGCGTCTACTTACCATAATAGGAATGATCTTTACTGCCCATTTTTGGTAAATCGTCTGACTGTAATATGGAATAATAATGTTTATCAATTTGTTAAGAGTAGGGTGTATGTAGATCATTTTTCATATGATCTACATAGTATATTAGATTTTTATATATTAATAAAAAAACGCTTCTAATAAAACGTTTTAATATCTTACCCAATTTGTATAAAAGTTATATAATATGTAATTTAAACAGTTCATTTATGATATTGAAGTTGCGCAATATGCATTGCTTTAAAAAAAATTAACTTTACATATAATTAAATTTTCCTAGGTCGCTATATGTTTTCCTAGATAGTACAAAAAATTGATAATTCTGATTGGTCAAATCATATGAAGTTTATATGTAAATCATATGATATCATATACACAAAGTTGATCTACAATCTATTTATATGAAATTGGAAATTTGTACACCCTACCCTGATAAATTAAACCATTTTATCCTGCTTTAATTTGTCCTTCAATACTCTTCTAAGAATTTTACCAAAATCACTTTTTGGAATTTTATCAATAAACAAAACACCACCTCTTAGTTTCTTATGTGGAGCAACCTTTTCATTAACATAAGATTGAATTTGTTTCACCAAATCTTGAGATTGTTCATGTCCATTTTTAATTGTGACATATGCTATAGGAATTTCTGTTGCTTCAGCCTCACAATAATCACCAATTACTGCAGCATCTGATACAGCATCATGAGTGAGCAGAATCGATTCCAATTCAGCAGGTGCCACTTGAAAACCCTGTAAAGTTTAAATTCAATTGTTAGTCAAACCAATAACATAAATCATATGTAAAATGATTATTCATTTAAATGATTATTGATAATCATATGTAAAATGATTATTCAATGTCATATGCAAAATGATTAATATTTTATAGTAATACTTTGTATTTGATTAACTCTTTTTCTCGGTCAACAATAAAAAAGTTTCCTATATAATAAACAAGGAATTATAAATATTTACACATAAAAATACTATATAAATTTTTTATTAAATCATGAAGCATACCTTGATCGTCAGCATATGCAACATCGCCAGTTTCAAAAAATCCATCTTTGTCAAAGACTGCATCTGTAGCCTTTTTATTATTAAGATATCCCTATTTTTTTTAAAATATATATATATATGTATATAACATTTTAGTACAAGTAGTAAGATTCGATAGTGTAAAAGTTTTGCCACATACTTTCATAACATTTGGTCCTTTAATGTATAATGCGCCAAATTCATTGTATCCTAATTCTAAAATATAAAATGATGTATTTTGTGATAACGAAATTTAAGTGGATTTAGAATTTTTTAAAAGTTTAGGGTTTGGTTATAAGTTTAATTCTGTTTCCATTTATATTATATAAAGCTAGTTACCATGACCATCTTTAGACAATATTTTAGCTTTCACATTTGAAATGAGCTTCCCGATAGAGCCTATTAAAAAATAGTACATTAGTGAAACATGAAATGTTCTTTGCTATACGGTAATAATGAACAACCCTAAAATCGCCAGGCAAAAAAAATTTCGCAGTCAATCAAATTTCAAGATCAGGTGTAACGTTGCACGATCAGGAAAATTCAAAACAAACGGTCGTTTTGTCAAAAATCGCCCATAACTCAAAATTTAGTCTATGGAACTGCCTTCTGCGTATTAACAAAAAGGTTTCCTCGCAAATTTTGGTATAACTATAACCCTTTTAACCTAACCTACTTGCAATACCCTAACCCTAACCTAATAGCGAAATGTTTTTTCTTAGCGAAATTTTTTTCTTGGTTTTGCAATAAGATCACATGAAGTGCGAAATTTTTTAGACTGGTGATGCTAGTCTCATAGTAATAATACAATGACATAATACCCGGGGTAGGGTTTATTAAATCAGGATAATGTAATATTGGGGAAGTTTCCGTAAGTCCTTTATTGTATCATAAAATATATTTATAATGATATATATATATATAGTGATATATATATATATAGTAATATATATTTATAATGATATATATTTATAATTATATATATATTTATAGTAATATATATTTATAATGATATATATTTATAATGATATATATATTTATAGTAATATATATATTTATAATGATATATATTTATGCGTAAATTTATTTAGCACCTGAGTGATTTATTCACCCTAGCATATCGTAAATGTGTACAAGGTTGGCGGCGAAGACTAAATTCTTAAAATTCGTTAAGGTTAGGGTTAGGGTCAAA